CTCTCCTCTCTCTCTCCCTTTCTGTCTTTCCATCCCTCCCTCCCTCTCTGTCTGTCTGTCTTTCCTCCCTCCCTCTATCTGTCTCTCTCTTTCTCTCATTCCCTCCCTCTCTCTGTCTGTCTGTCTCTTTCTCTCTCCCTCCCTCCATCTGTCCATCTCTCTATCTGTCTGTCTCTGTCACACACACACACACACACACACACACACACACACACACACACACACCACTGTTTTGTACCCATTTCATCCCAGGAAGAGTGGTCAAAGTGCCTAAGGAATGATCCCTGACTTCAGGATTTTTCCAGTCTAGTGTAGGAGAGAAACTATTGCACATTTAGCATGTTGCACATTCTAACATTACACTGTTTTTATTCCATTTAAAATATGAAGTACTGTGGCTAACTGAGGACTCTCTAGCCTGAAATTCAAGAGTTTTTCCTTCCAGGCCAGGGACTCTCTGAGTCCTGAGCCTCAGTAGGTGAGATGTGGAAAGGGAAAGATCTAAGGTATGGTGACAGATGGGAAGTTGCATCTGAGAAGCATGGAGGAAGAGGAGGTCAGAAATGAGACTAGAGCTAACTAATGAACTAACTAACTAACTAACTAACTAATTAACTCATTACTTCATTACTCATTCACTTATTACTTAAACAGCTAGCTAATTAACTAACTTTGGTTATACAATGAAGGCTGGCCTGTGGGAAGGTTTAGAGAGAAGCATTAGGCTATATCAATAGGTCTAGATGTATTAAGTTGCCTTTAGGGCATTTTACGCAGTATTCTTCATAACTTTGAGATAGCTAAACCTATACTTGCCATGTTAATAAAGCTTTCTGAGTTATGCCTCAGTTGGATTCTGGCAGGAAGGACCAAGAGGGTTTCATAGCAAAGACTACCTGAAACACTAACAAATTCTGGAAGTTGTACTTAGAGCATGAATTCCTCGTAGTTCCAAGTCTTCTCCACTTCCTAGAGGCACGGGGAGATAGGGCATTAGCAAACTTCTAAACACATGGAAATACATAATTGAAGTCATAATCACCATAGGCCTTTCTTAGGTTCTACCATGGGCCTATCCTTTCTGTGGTGTGGCAACCACACATATTGCCTCACTCAGTATCTTCAGTAAGTGGTGAAGGGTGTCATGTCTGTTTTATAGCTATCCCCAGGTCCCAGCACCCTACCACATTAGCTCATACAGTGGATAAGGTTAGCTCTGTTCATGGAAGTCACCTCTCCCCAGTCCACCTCCAAAAGAATCTCACTTTGGCAGTTACCTCACCCTGGAATGTTTTTCTGCCAAGATAGTCACAAAATTGACCTTTATAGGTCTTAACTGAAATGTCACCTCCCTCAAGAAGCCTTTCTTGATCATGTTACCTCTTGTTATACACATTTCCCTGTTCTTTTGGGTGCTAAGGATCAAACCCGGGAGGAGTCCATGCATGCTAGGCTGCAACTAACCTATACCCCCAGCTCAGTTTACTTCCTTTTAAGTTTACTGCCATCTGAAATCATGCATTTACTTATTTTCTGTTCCTCAGTCTAAGATATTAATTTCATGAGATCCAAAACTTTAAGTGTCAGCAACACTTTTGTCTTAGATGTCCATGGCCTTTGAAGACAATTTCTGAAACTGATTTTTGTGCACACTCAACAAATAATTATTCGGTGCTAGGAGGATAAATGGGTGAATAAGTATCCCTAGAGCCCAGCCTGTTTCTGGCCCCATCCTTTCTTCATATTTTCTTTTTGCTGCCTGGTACCCAGTAATGCAAACCACTGAACCATGTATCTGGGGTCGAGGATGACTAATTCTTTGAAATCAAGCATTTACTCAGTATGGAAAAATCCCAGATCTCTCTCTCTCTCTCTCTCTTGGTGACAGAGATTATTTGATTTGTGCTCCAAGCTCAGATACAGTACTCAGGGTGCATGATTTTTTTAAGCAATCATTCCTTTAAAACCTATCTTTGCATTTGTGCCTTTTCTTATTCATTCATATCAGCTAATTTTAAAAAACAGAATATTGGAGTTCACATAAAAGAGACATTGTTCCCGGCCATTTTCATTTGCCTGTGTTTAAAAACATCAGCCATTTGGAAATGTATCGTCCATCTGACCAATTAGTGAGTCAGTATTATCTCCACAAACAATGCACCAGTCCTGAAACACTAAGCTCTCTCATTCTTTTCTCAAACTACATTTTTTTTTTTTTTTTTTTTTTTTTTTTTGGTGGCAGGGTTCACACTGGCTTTCCTGGAAGGACAATTCCAAACCTTGGTAGAATCTTGTCAATCTTCCAATCTCCCTCCCATCCATATGTCTAGAAATAGCTTGTGGATAAGTGTCTAAGTTAGAGAAAGTGGTCCATGAAGGAGTTTAATATTCTTCTTGGTATTCTATGACAGGATGTGCTCTTACCTGCACTAACTAATTTTACTGAAATGTTTGAATGTGCTCATATGATTCTAAATGATAGGAGGGAAAAAAAATTCAGAAGCAACCTGCCCTTCACCTTGATCTCTACAATCTCCAGGGAAATATGGTGTAATAGAAGGAACAGAATAGCTTGGAGAGCAGAATTTTAAGGCATTCTAAGCATCACTGGTTGGTTTAATAAAATTAATTAGCCTGCCACAGAGAAAATTTACTAGCACGCTGGTTAATTTCACAATGTAAAGTCAGGGAAGGGAGGTAGGGCTGAGGGGAAAAACCTTATTAGTTTTGAATAATTATTTAAAGATGTGGGCCCTGCCAATTTCAAACACTTTGATAGCCAATTCCATTAAAGCTTTAAAAATCTGTTGCATGTGTATCCTAACATATATGGGAAGGAACCTCCACAGATGAAATTATAAGCATACTAGCTAACAGCAAAATGACTCATTTAAGATACAGAACTAAAGGCAGAATTCTAATAAAAACATGGAAATAAAAACTTACCTTGATACTGGCTCGCGGGAGGTTTCTGTGATCTTAATTTGCTATTGATACAATGATTATTCTTTCTTGTCTTTTTAATCCAAACAAGATGTTCGCGGTGGCCACAGAAAGGTGCCTGAAATCACATGCCTGAATTCATTTAATTTGCCAACATCGTCCTTTTTTCTTCTCTTTCCCTTCCTGGTAATGGGCAAGAGTCAATTCTTCTGCATTAAGTGCTAAATCTCTTCAATTACCAGCCGGGAAGAAAGATTTAAAATTGTGCTTCAAACCTCAAAACTGATTTAGTTTAAAAGCACAAACACTTCTCCTGTGGAGCCTAAATTAAACTACAGAAAGGACTCAAAGCCTGAAGAATTAAATAAGGCAGGGCCAACACTCAGGCCAGCCATAGGGACAGTTTTGAGTTTGCTTTCAAATGAACCCCCGTGGCATGAGAGGAAGGGAAACAGGACAAACTGGCAGGCAGAACCTGTGTAAGAGGTGCAGGCCTATATTGTGGGGAAGCCGGGCCCGGGGTGAACATTGGTTTGGGGATTAAGTCAAAGCCCTTATCCCTTTTTTTCTCATTTCTTTTTCACAGCCATATTTAACGTGGATGACTCTGTGGTTGACCTGGAGACCCTGGCAGCCTTGTATGAGAATGTGAGTGTCAAAGGCATACAGAACTGGAGTTTTCATATTTATTTCCACACTGAACATCACTGAGCTGTTCATGTTCTTGGGTAGTTAGGATCTGAACACAATGTGGAAGAGATCCAGACACAGAGATGCGAATTTACACATGAGGGGGGGTGTTCTCTACTCCCACTGCTGTGTCTGCCCCAGGAGACCTCATTGACACCAGCAAAGCAGAGACCACAGGTGCACCCTAGAGCCTGACCCTAGTGCTAGCTGACAGAGTGACTGAGTGAGCCGCCTACTTGATGCTGGCACACTCCAGCGTCTTCCTCAGAGGAATAGGAATCCCGACAGCCGCTTGGATGATGATTCTCATACCAGAGGAGCTGCTGACATTAAGTGCAGGAGGCAGCATTGGATGGCAATGGTGTGTTCTAGCTTTAAAAATCCAGATCAGAGTGGGACCGTACCTGACTTTTTTTTCTATTGAACGAGAATTGATTAAGTATCCTATGACTTCTCATGGAGCCCAGAGCCCATTCCAAAAGCTGAGTCACACAGTTTAGGAACATCATGAATCATGTTTAAGAAACATCACTGTAATGCACAAAGTCTTTGTACGTGGAAATGGCGAGCAGAATTCGTAGGCTCTTGTGAGGAGATGATACTGGAGAATCAGAAGTCCCATGAGTATCAACTCTTCTGTTCACTGGCTGTCAGGATGCAGAAACACAGATGGAGCTGGAGTTCCTAAACCATGGTACTCTCAGATAACTGCATGGGGGCCTGGTGACATGCTATAGTCACTCAGCTCACAGGGTGATTGAGTTTAACATGTATGTCCCCGGGACCTTAAATTTCCATAGTCTAATATAGCCCAGTGAGCTCACCAATTCCCTACATATTTTCACATTCTCCGCGTATTTAAAAAATTATGTAGTGCTGGGTGGGAGCTTTGCATGTGTTTCTATTAGTATAGTTCTCACAAATAAACCCAAAGACCCACAAGTGTCAGAGCATTGGGAGTTAGTGGTACATTTATTGAGTGCCTGGAGGATAGTGTGAGGATCCGGAATCCAAAACTCATTACCAATAGATTAGTGCAAGCCTTGGGGACTTACCCTCTGGAAAATGAGGATACAGTAACTGATGGCAAAGAACTCTATCAAGCAAGGTGCCTTCCTGATGCTTTCTGTTGTTACCATGTTTTCAAGAGTATGCGTATGGCCAGTAGAGGAAGTAAGTCTGTACACAACAGGAAATGTTGGGTAACTTATAAAGTATGTTACCAAATGCCTAAATAAGTGGTGTAAATAACACACCTTTATGAAATTCAGGAAAAAAGGAAGTAGCAACTACAAATAACAGTGTGGAAAGCCCATGTAAGATAGTTGTTCTGGGGGAAAGAAAGCTAAGGACAGCTTGCCCCACAGCTGCCTACAGAAGACTCAAGCTATCAGCTGTCTTAAGCTGTGTGTTCTGGATATGTGCACTTGTCATGACCATTTGCTTTAGCTAGTAACTGCCAAACTTGAGCTTGTATCAGAATGACCTGAAAGGGTTTTCTGGGCCCAACTGTAGAGTTTCTTATGCTTGGGGTGAGGCCCAAGGGATGCCATTGCTGCAGGGTGTGGGATCACAAATGGATTCCTATGGTCTGAGGCTGCTTCACTTGACTCTGTGTGTGTGTGTGTGTGTGTGTGTGTGTGTGTGTGTGTGATTTGTTTCTTTTCTACTCTCAATGCAGCGAGCCCAAGAGGATGAGCTGACTAAAATAAGAAAGTACTACGAGACATCCAAAGAAGAAGACTTGAAGCTGTTGGACAAACCTGAACAGTAAGGATCCTTGAAATACCTTTGGTTAGTCTGAAAGGAGAGCTATAAACTCCATCTGTCTGCCTCCCAGCTATGAATGTCAAGTCTAAATGGTGCAGAGAACTGAGTTACAACAGCGTCATTCTGTGCCCGATTGCATCCAGCAGGATGACTCGGCTGCCGGGAAGGCTGCTGAGATGTGTGCTGTTGGATGCAGTGTGTCTCTCCCCCTGCTTTCACCCTACACCACTCCCCTTTCTTGTTCTAGCAACTTAATTCCTCCTAGACTAAACATTTTAGCCAAAAGGGTAACTGAGGAAGGAAGAAGGCGTTACTACGCTGCCTCAAGTTTTGCTGATGTGTTAAAAAGATGATAGCAGAGTCACCAACCAAATTCAAACTGGTTTTCTTAAATGTCATGCTCAGTAAATGTATCCTGAATGTGGCCAGTTTCCCACAAACTTCTCCACTTGTGCTGATTAGGTTAGGTTTTTCTTATCCTCCATCTGTGTGGCTTGCTCTTGTTTCCATTAATTCTCTAGAGTGGCCAGCTTTGGTTTGTAGTACCATCTCCCACACATTGAGAACTCAGACCTCTGCTGGATACCTGAGTGGCTTCTTGTTGGTTAGACCCTTGAGGTCTACAAGCCACACGTGAGTACCCGGGAGTCCCCAGTAAGTTATTTAGGCACTAAGACTGCAAATGTGCTGCTGGTTTGGGGCTCATGTGCGTTGAATGCTTCATATTCCATTCAAGCTAGCCTTCTGCAGCCAAGGAGAGGCAGCTACAGAAGGCAAAGAGAAAGCAGAAATTAGATTGAGTGTAACAGGATGCCAACAGGCATCCAAGGTTGTCTTATACTCTGTGCCATGTTTTGATGCCTCAGTTCTCATAGACCCAGAAGAAAGCATCTCTAAATGACTGGTAAGGTAGTTTTTTTAGAGATCCAAGGTTTACCTTACATACTGTCAAACCTTGCTGATAACTTATGAACCTTAGATGGGATCCCCTCACATGGAACTATAGCCCAGACTCCTGTCCCTTAAACCTGGTCCATAAAGCCTAAGAATATGTATAGATCAGTTCAGATGAGATTCTACTGTCCTTTTGTCTCATTAACACCAGCCATCAGGCCCACCACCTCCACCGCTGCTGATGCTGCTCACCCAGAAGTCAGGTTTACCTACCGTGAATTAACTCCTGTTAAATCACTAAGGATCAATGGGGAAGTGACTAGTGGTGAGATATGTAGCCACTGGTAGTATTTGGAGATGATCGGGCATATCAAACATTTATGCAGGGTTAGTGTGCCCAATTGTGTGGTAAAATTGTAAGCCTGGGGTTGGCAAACTTTTCCTGTAAAAGACTAGATAGCATTTTTATACTTTGTGGGTTAAAGGATCTCTCAGGGCTCCTCAAGTCAGCCATTGTACTGTCATGGTTCAAAAACAACCATAGATGATAATATGTAAGCAAAGGGACACAGCTGGACCTCGATTTTATTAAGATCGCCAGGATTTGAATTTTGTATTATTTTACATGTCAAAAATACTTCTATACTTTTTACGATCATTTAAAATATGAAAACCATTCTTAAGGTCACAAGTCACACAAGTAGAAATGGCTGGTTGGGTTTGGTCCATTAGCTCTAATTTGTCCACACTCAGTAAAACCTGCCGTAAGTTGAAGGGATGGGGCACAATGAACCACTGATGTGAAATGAACAGTGTGTGTCTGCCAAGAGAGGCATTCCTCTGCCTTTTGTGGTACAGCCTCCCAGCATCATTTCTCAGCACTAATTGCCAGGGCATAGAATAATGGTGGCAACTAATTAGCGCACTACTTCTTATCCCCCCCTACCACCACCCATGATCTAGCTAGATAAGCATTTTCCAAGTTTGGAGGGCCATTGTGCTGACTCCCTGAACACTCAGCACTATTACTGGAGGCCACGATGCCTGTCATGTGGGGCTACTCAGGTAGCAGACAAGGCTCAGAGACGGGCATGGAGAGGTTGAGGACCCCAGCCTCGACTCAAGCACACCTCACCTTTGCTCTCCACGTCTCTGAAGGCAGCTTTTGTCTGATCTATGCCAGAGCCTGGTTCTCTGGCGATTTATTTGCTACTTATTCCCAATGAGTGGACCATAAGCATGTCTTACATACTGGGAAATATGAATCATTGAATTTAGCATTTCAGTTTCTTAAGGGCCGTATGCTGCCCAGTCCTGTAAATCACAGCGTGGAGAGGCTGGCCTCATCACTCACCTCATCAACTCTCCTACACCCCAATGCCAGATTTAGAAAGCCATTTCCCACAGAGGTGTCATCTGCTTGGGACCTGGCTGTCTGAGAGCCACTCCTTCCAGGGATGTCCCTTCACTCCCTTTATTTCCTGCTTTGAGATTGTTGGTGAGAGAGGGTGTGGCACTCCTGGTAAGACCTGTTGACTGATTAGGACTCCCATGGTCTACAGTGAGAATACTGTGCACATCATATTAGGATCTTGCACAGGGGTCCAAAACCAGCTGTAGCATTTTGCTTCCTTGAGTATAGGCTACATTGTGGAATAATACCGTGGATGAGACCCCTGTTGAACACATACCTTAGATCACACCACCAAGGGTTTTGGGGAATGATGAGAGATCACATTAGTCTCTTTTCAAATGCCAGACCACACAGCATCATCGCACCTGTCAGCTGAGTTGCCACTGCGGCTTTAAAACCCACACAGACTAAAGCCCCAGGCCTTCTGTTGTGGGTACAGGCTGAGCTATAGTCCTTTCCGGGGAAATAAACCACATTGCGTAAGGAAGGAGAGAGCTCCCTCACTTGTGTGTCTGTCCTTTCTGTTATAAAATCTAGAATAAAACTGTAGATAGAGTAGCCCAAACGGAAATTAGTCCATGAATATCTGTAACTGTGAAGACCTACTGTTCAAGATACTGTGCCTGGGGGTCTGTAATGGCTTATTATCCCAGCACTTACCAGTAGGCTATAAAGCACAAGGGAACGGGGGCAGAGTTCATCAGACGCTTGGTTCGAGGAGCCTTTGAGATGACCTTTCCTTCTGGCACTTGTCAGGCAAATGAGAAAAGAGCAATGGTGCCTTTCCTTGGGCCTTTGCCTGGTTATGTTTGTGTTAAAAGTTTCATACAATCATATATTTTCTTTTCCGATTTTACTTCTCTTGTGATTTATATCTTTAAATTTTACCAAATGTTGCCAAGGCCAAACCCAGCGAGTCATCTTGGTCTCTTCCAGCATCAGGACCAGTCCCTTAGGGCCGTTCTGCTCCACAGCCGCCTTACCCACTTGCCTGTCTCCACCATCACAGGCCCTCTTGCCTTCCCCTTGCAAGGTCCCTTCCAGTTCTCCAAGCCTGAAATCTACTCATGTTTCCAGGTAGCCATGCCACTGCTGTGGTGATTGTATGAAATAAAAAATTAAAAGTATTATGTCTCTGTCTGAAACCCTCCATTTGTTTAGAAAAAGTACATTTCAGAATACAAAACTCCATTTGCCTTCCCCCAGCTTCCTTCCCGACACCGTCCAGCCTGTCTCAGCTCACTTCTCTAGTCGTCAGCCATGTCATTCACAGCATCATGGAGAGGCTCAGTTGACCAGAAGCCAACATTGCTTCCCCAAGCCTCTCATCACTGATCACATCTTTTCCACATTTCAGTAATCATGGGTGTGTCTTTTTTATATCAAAAAGGAACCATATGTAAGCCAAATCCCATTCCCAGGCCTTAGGTAGCTGTAAAGGCTTCACATACTCCTGAAGTGACCACGGCTAATGCACTAGAACTCATTAGCAGTGATGGGTACTATACAAAAGCAAATCTGCCCCTCCATCTGCCATCCCCTCCCAGCTCCTTGAGACCTGGGGCCTTAAGATGCTGTGAGACCCTTCCCAGAGCAAGCCCTCATCCTCTGTAAGTTTGTAATCAGACAGCTTTGCAGTTTCACTCTTTTCTTTGTTGAGGAGCCTCTAGTCTTGTTTCCACAAGTGGGTCCTATGGCTCCTCTAAGAGACAATTAGTTGTTTTTCCTCCCGCGTTACCTGTTTCCCATCCATGTCCCGGTGGGTGAGCCAAGGCATTGCTCTGTTTGCTCACTCATATGCTACCTATTGCGCCTCCATTACTGTCTTCATGCTCAGCCAGTCATTTACTTAGTCCAGAGATCAAGGTCCTACACGGGGTCTGAGGAGATGACACAGTGGCTTTGGGGAGGGGAGAAATGCAGGGCACTTTCTGGACTGGCTCGCAGCACCTAAAGGAGTAAACCTTGCCCAGAACTCATCGCAGAACCAAACACTGCCAGTCCCCAGAGATGGTTCCTGCTCACTGTGAAAACCGGGGACAGCTCTGATGTCACTCATGATGAATGACTCTGGTCAACTCTGTACTGTACTTATGAGGGAACAATTCAGAAAGGAAAGGCAATTACTCTCTTCCTGTCCCTATGCAACACTTCTGTATTCTCTTAAATGCAATAGTACGTAGTGTGCTTCTAACTGTGACTGCAGGAACAGAACCTAAAGAGAAGGGAGTATTTCCTGAGTCCCCCATGCTTCATTTCCAGAGTATTTTAAAAGGCTGGGGCAGGGGGAAATGACAACTAGGACCTGGTCAGAAGAGTTAAGAAAAGCAGCTGATAATAAAAAATGTATTAAATCCAAAAATCTTTGGAGGTCGGAGTGTTACACAGCTATTATCCCAGTACTTGGGAAGCTGAGACGGGGGATTAAAATTTTGAGATAGCCTAAACTGTAAGTAAGCTGTAAGTAAAACCTTGTCTCAGAAATAAGTATACAACAAAAAACAAACAAGAACACTACATCACCTCCCCCAAAAAACCTGTGGAAAGAACAGAATACAGAGCAAGAAAACAAAACTTAAGGACAGAATGGGGCATAGAAGCAGGGAGGGTGATACAGCCTTAGAATTCCAGTAACTGAGGATATTGAGGCAGGAGAATAGTGAGTTAGAGGCTGTCCTGGGCTAAGTAGCAAGACTGCCAATAGAAGAAGAAAGTTGACCCCTCCCCCTTGTCCTCCTCTTCCTCTTCCCTTTGCCCTATCTGCTTCTCCAGCTACTCCAGCTGCTCTAGCTCCTCCAGCTACTCTAGCTCCTCCAGCTCCATCTGCTCCATCTCCTGCTGCTACTCCTCCTCTTTTTCATTTGAAACAGAGAGAGTAACAACTGTGGTCATCTACAAAACTATATCTGGTGGGAGACTTCAAATTTTCAAAGTGATGGTATTGTGAATTGACCAAGACTTTCAGAAATAGCTGTTAATAATCATTTCAACTCCAAAATGAAATTAAGGGCTGTTAGTGGATTCTCTCCCTTTCTGAGATCATAGCCAACTGTTTCAACTCATATTACTTTATACCCTTTCCTCTGGTGGTTGGTGGTTGGCCTCAAAAGCAGGTAGCTCTTCCAGCTTCATTTTGCAGAAGACACCAGTGCCCAGTTACTCAGACAGTGAGCTACTGTGTGTAGAGCACTAACGAGTTTTGACTCTTAAGAGCTGTTTGGCATACTTTAAAGATTTTAGGCTGTCTACTTCATGAATTTCTGCTTTCTTCTAAGTACTGAGCTGGCTATCAGCTGCACCTACGTGGGTAAATTGACACAAAGAGTAAGCAAGTATATGGAAAATGAGATCATTATAGACTGTTACATAATTGAGCAAAAATAATAGCAATCTCACTTCAGTAATATCTTATCACTTGACTATAGACATTTGTCCAAAGTCTTCAGTTTGCTCTACCTACATTGATATACTTTTAGAAAATTCTACATGACACAGGAATTGATTGTGTCATCTTCTCATACAGTAAAGACCAGGACTTTCCATCTGGGTTTAGCCTCTTGTTTGAATCGCAGGATAGAGGTAACGTTTTCAGAATACTTGCATAAACTTTCTGCTCATCTACATTATTCACCATCATATGAGCTTACTAGACAGAGGCCCTGTTGTCAACAATGGAGCAGATGGAGTTCCTTGAGTCAGCCCAACTGACTCCCTTTATAAACTGAAATCGTGATGTAAGGAATGTTCCCCTTGGTCGATCCGGACCAGGCCTCTTTCTTAAGTTTTCCCTATGACTATGCATAAAGCAAAATGATTTGTTTTTATTTTTGCAGATTTCTGCATGAGTTAGCCCAGATTCCCAATTTTGCTGAGCGTGCCCAATGCATAATCTTCAGGGCTGTGTTTTCCGAGAGTGTTACTTCCCTACACAGAAAAGTAGAGATTGTCACACGAGCCTCAAAGGTATGTTTGCCATTTGATTTAAAGCCTGCTTTGCCCTTGTTGGGAGGAAATGAGGAAATGAGAGGTGAGGAAGACCCAACATTAGTGATTTATAGAATGAAAGTTGTCTGTACTTTACATTGACTGTTGAAGAGAAATGTGGTGTTTGTCCTGTCCAAGTGTATGAAGGGTAGGGAAGGAAAGAAAAAAGGAGATATGAACTGAAGAAAAAAGGGAAGAGGGAAAAACAATCTTTTTTACAGATTCTTAGAAAAAAAATTGTTACTACCTCACCATGTACATACTGGCCACCAAAAACTAAAAACAAAACAGTTCGATCCCTGTTCAACTCTTCAAATCACAAAAAGATTTTACTTGAAGTCCATGCAGGTGATCACCTGAAAGATATCTGTCTACATCGTAAAAAGAAAACCTCCTGGAGAGTTGAAGTAACTGACTGTGATTGTGAGTGACTGACACACACATTCTGTGTCCACCACACTCTGTACAAAGCTCCCATCTAAGCCCCAGCCCTTTCACTTTCACCTGTGTTCTTAAGATCATGATATAAGTGTGTTCCACAAATCCTGTACTACTTCATTGTTTGCCAGAAGGCATGATTTTCCCCCCGTGACATATAAAATTTTTTTCAATAAAGAAAGAATAACCATTACCAAACCATGATACCATGATACATGTATTAATAACCTCTGAGAGACCCTGGCAGAAGTCTACCTAGGTCTGAACTTTATTTTTCCTTTTATCCTAAAATAAAAGAAGATAAAGCTGGATTGGCAAGATGGCTCAGTGGGTAAGGCACCTGCCACTAAGTCTGATGATCTGAGCTTGATCTTCAGGGTCTGCGTGGTGGAAAGAAAGAACCAGTTCCTGCAGGTTATCCTCTGACCTCTGGGTCCTTGCATGCCCCCACAGCCACCCCCTACACACACAAGGAAATAATAATAATAAAAATAATGTAATAAAAAGATGATAAAGACAATTAATAGTATAAAGAAGAGTTTCTGTTTCAAAGTTTGCACTTGAAGCAAAGATTAAGAGAGAAAAAAGTGAACAAGACAGAAAGATAAAGACAATGCTTAGCAGCTTAACATTGTGAAAGTTAATAAATAAGAAGCAAACTTCCAGAGAAGATACATCTTGAAAAAACTTAATATAACCTCTGACCTTAAAGTACATTATCAAAAATAATCTCGGAGGACTATGCCTACACTTGCTATTATGTCTACTCTAAGTTTGACTATATTTTTTGTATCTAGATCTGTGGTTTCAAAAGAGGTCCTAAAAAGACACCTGACCTCAAAAATTAACTACATTCTCTGTTATTTACCTACAAGTACTTTAAAGTACCAAGATCAAGACTGCCTAAAATGAAAAATAAACACAAAGGTCCAGCCCTCATTATTATAACTTTGTTGCATAAGTAGGAAATTGTGGCTGTTTGTGCTCCCCCACCCCCAAGATACCGCTTAGTGAAATGTATCTGACATTTGCCAACTGTTAATATGACTGGTTACTAGCCAGGTAACAGGATTAGGCTACTTTAAGAAGCCTTTGCTGTTGAGCAGACATGACTGCTTTTGGGGTTCAGACCATAATAACTTGTATTTGCCGTTGCAGGGCTTGCTGCACATGAAGAGTGTAAAGGACATCTTAGCTCTCATTCTGGCTTTTGGAAATTATATGAACGGAGGGAATAGGACTCGAGGGCAAGCAGATGGATATGGTTTAGAAATCCTACCCAAACTCAAAGACGTCAAAAGTCGGGTATTTATTTACTTTTCATACTGAAGTGTCTACGTGTTAGGGTTATTTTTCTTATGAATCTCTAATTTAAAACAAAGTATTACAGACTGATCCATTTATCTTATCTTTTCTCCAATAGTAATCATTTACCTGAAAGCATACGTTTTTGTTTCCCCCTTCTGTGCTTTGTTTTGCCTTGAACGTGTTCTTTTATTTCTTTAACATTAGACCTCATTTTCAGTGATAAAATACATCATATGTGAAGGCTCTAACATACATGATTAGACACTGAACTACTATTTCAATACAAGATAAAATAGCATATTGTATTAGTCATAATGCAGAGGCTAAAGTCTGTTTGAATTTAGTACTGACCATTTGTAATTTACTCATTCTTGAGTGGCAGACACTGTTGAGCCTAGTATTTGAATTATTCTTTTGCCCACAACAATTGGGGCTGGAGTCTCCTGTCAACTCCCTGAGCCTGATTATCATTTGGCTCCACACCCCTGCGGAGCCACCTTTTTAGAAACAACCAGCCCATATCTGGGCGTCCCATGGGGGCAGGGGGAGAGCAGAGAAGGGAAATACACAGGCAAATTAGAACTAGACCCCTGTGAACAGGACACAAAGGCTGCCTTGTGGGAGGGCCCGCTCCCCCTGGCCTTCCAGGGTCATAAAGTGGCATGGCTTTCCTTTTAAGCTGGCCCTGATTGTTTTTCACGCCATTAAGAGCACACATTTTCTGAGAAGTAGGAAGGGAGGGATGGTTTTCTCTTCTAGTCCACAGCTCCCTTTAGCGTTTCCCACCCCCTCCTGTCTTGGCAACATGCCAGGAAATATGGGGTAATGATTTTTGTTTGTTTGTATATTTGTCTTAGCCAGAACCTCGAAGGTCTCCTGAATTACCTATTTTGTTTGAGTTTTGAGTTTTCCTCCCGCAAAAAAAAAAAAAAAAAAAAAAAAAAAAAAAAAAAAAAAAAAAAAAAAAAAAAAAAAAAAAAAAAAAAAAGTGTAGTGTCATTTCTCTTTATAGCTGGCATTAAAAAATGAATGAAATTAGGAGGAGGAAGGAAAATCTGGTCATTATGTAACAGAAATAGGACTCAGTCTCACAAATGGTAAGCATCGTGAGCTGGGTTTTCAGTTCTCACCTGGGAAGCATTCAGGGTCTCCTGTGAACGGCTGTCATTTGAATTTCTCTTTTAAACCTAGGACAATGGGATGAACCTGGTGGACTATGTCGTGAAGTATTATCTGCGGTACTATGATCAGGTAGGAAATGAGAAAATGGCATCGGGGAAACAAATTGGTGTCCGGGAGGCTTCAACTCTAATGAATCCTTAGCATTCAGGAACTGGATTCTGGCTATATGGAGGGATAGCTTTCCTCCAGTCCCACTTTGTGTCCGAAAGCTCCCCAGTGAAGATAAAAGGTACACCTGGGTTTTAGAAAAGGAAGTGTAAGAAAGACAGGAGGCCACTGAGTCTCAGTCTGCCAGCTTCAGATAGATCCCTCATTGCCTTGTGACAGATGATGGGGTTTTCTGAACTCTAGATGCATTCAGGAGTTGGTTAGAGTTGAAACTGAATTCTGAGCTACTGCTCAACATTGAGGAAATCAAAACACTGTAATATTCTTCTTTTTAAAGACATTTAGTTATTCATATTTTATGTATATGCGTGTTTCTCTGTGTGAGTTTATATGTGCCACATGTGTGCAGTAGTCTGCAGAGGCCAGAAGAGGATTCAAATCCCCTGTAACTGGAATTGCAGCAATTGAGAGCTGCCACACTGATGCTGGGAAACAGCAAGAACAATGTAAGAACAGTTAGCTCCTTTAACTGTTGAGCTAGCTCCCCAGCCTAGTTATTTTTATTAGTTTGTTTGGGTGACAAGGTCTTACCAAGTATCCTGGACTGGCCTGAAACTCACTATGTGGACCAGGCTGGACTTGAACTCACTCTGCCTGCCTCTGCCTCCTAAGTGCTGGATTTAAAGCCTTGTGTACCACATCTACTTTAATTACCAAAATTCTACAAATAGTACCTCTGGGAACAAGTTAGAGGCATTAAATTTGAGAACAAAACAGAACAAGAACATGCTCTCTGCTTAGAATATATTTCAATTGGAATTGAGCACTTTTTTACGTATATACCTGAGCACAATTTTCTTCTTTATTCCTTCTTTTTGAACTAAGAACTGAAAGTCCTCACTTTGAGGGGAAAGAAGGACTGTTCATTGGTTGTTGAAATTGATACAAAAAGACAAAAATCTCAAAGTAGAGAGGACTCCCCAACACACAAGGGGTCAAGACCCACAGGTTGAGAACTACTGTTCTAGGCCACCTCACAGTCTTATATTTGTGTTTCCAATACAACTTTTATACTCAAGACAGAAATAGATCTCTACTTCAAGTGAATCAAGACCTAAGACTCTGATGTTCACAGATTAGAACTATCTATGTCTCAAACTTTTTTTAAAAGAAGATTTATTTTTATTTTACATGTATGAGGTTTGCCTACCTGTATATACATATACCACATATATAACTGGTGGAAGCCAGAAAATGGCATCAGCATTGGATCATCTAGATCTAGAGTTGCAGGCTGTTGTGAGCTGCTATATGTGTGCTGACAAATGAATCCAGGTCCTCTGCAAGAACAACAAATGCTCTTAATCATGGGACCATCTCTCAAGCCTTTTACATTTCTATTATTATTCCTCTCAAGAAATAACATATTTGGAGGTTTTAGGGAGAAAACTCCCCATGAAGTTATTAACATGTATTGTGGATTTATTCAGGGAATTGCAGACCCTTATAAAGAAATTACATAATTTTATATAAAGAAAGACCACAGTATTGATCAACAGGTATACCAAGAAATGTTCAGCATCACTAATCAATAGTCACAGCCACAATGAGATATCCCAACATACCCATTAGGACAATCACTGTAGAAATAAAAGGATATTGCCATGTTAGGGGCTGCTTAGAACCCTTGACCATGGTTTCTGAGAATGTAAAATGGTTTCTGAGGTGTTGTGTAAATCAAATTTTGGAATTAAAACTAAAACATGGTCCAGCAATCCTCCAGGAGACACCTTTGCTTAATCTGTACGTATATGCTTAGTGAGCTAAAAAGATTTCAGCCTTCCTATATCAAAAACTCTAGAAATATGCATAAGTTTTCTAGGAATTTAGCTGAAGACTTACATTACTATTCTTCTTATGATAATTAAAATAGCAAAAAACTTGAATTTTTTGTAGGTATCCAATGCTTAACAATTTAGTCAAATGAATCATGTTAGATTATCAAATGAAATAACAGACTGCTGTGGAAAGTCAGTAGAGCTTGAGACTCTTAATCTCAGGGTCATGGTTCAAGCCCCATGTTGGGCACCAATTGTTGTTAACTGTTTTTTATTATCTACAGTAGTTGCCCCTTAAGCAATGGCTTCAACCACAAGGGCAGCAGCCTGAGGGGATAATGTTCCCTTCTCCCTTTACTGGTGTCTTCCAAAAGTCCCAGTGTCCTTGTCTCAGCCCCCACTTAAAAAACCCTTGCTATACATGGTTCCTTTTTACCACTTCCTGTCAGCTATTTGCTGACTCAGCCTCCTGTTTACAGGTTAATTTTATTTAACCAAACACATCTTTGAATTGTTAACAAAAGCAGTAGGAAAAAAATGCAACAGACTTTAAAATAATATTCCCCAACAGAAAGTGTTTAGGACACAATGTAGTGGCCCTGGAAAATAATCTGTCCACTTTTAAATGATATATATATATATATGCATAAAATAGGGTGGTATGGTGGCATATGCCTTCAATCACAGCAGGGAGGCAGAGGCAGATGGGCCTCTTAATTCAAGGCCAGTTTGTATACATAGTGAGTTCCAGAACAGCCAGGAATACACAGAGAAACCTTGTCTCAAAAAACCAAAAAAAATTATATGCACGTGTTTTGAAATTATAAATGCATACATACACACATATTTAAAATAGGTAAATGTAAATGTAACACTAACTCAGAGAAAACCTGGAATGATATATAGTAATACATTTCATTATTTGGGGGATGTTAGAGTTATGATAGTTTTTAAAATTTTCAATTACTAAGCACAATTAATGTGCATCTGTAAAAATTAAAACTATATTAAAACAATCATTCAATCCAATGTTTCATGTTTCCCCCTTTTACATAAATATTTGGTCACATCCTGATCCTTAAAGGAAATCTTTGAAGCTCTCACCTTGGAAACCTGGGTGAAGATTCTGTGCAGGTCTCCAACAATCTCTTTTGCTTCTTCTGTGAATAGTGTACAAGTTATCAATGATCTTGACATTGTTCCTTGAGAGCCAGAATTCGCTGTTAACTTTTTAATGTCTACCAGGGAGATGTCCCTCGTCTAATAAGCATTAACTACATTATATAATATAAATATCATCAAAAGTGGAATAAATTGGCCAATGTAAAGAACTAGATGTAAGAACATAATTTTGTTTTTCTGGAGTGAGGAAGATATGTTGAGCTTCAGGAAATTTAGCAGCAGAAGGCACATCGGAGCATACTCCAAGTTCTGACAGCAAGTACCCACAGGCCAGAATTACCCTGAGGAGTCTTGGCAGGTGACATTTATAACCCTAGATCCCCAAGGGCAGATACCTCTAGCCAGTCAATTGTTCTGTAGAAAGGTTGAGATTAGTCCATGGAATATGGTTGTTAGTGAGAGCAAGATGCAATGGAATTGACATTGTGGAGGAAAATGTGATCAGAACAGTTGCAGGTAGGGAATGAGCCCCATCCACATTTGTGTGGTGCCCTCCCAGTGTGTACCGAAGAACACATTGCACTCAAAGGGGAGTTGTGTGATTTATGAAGCTCTTTGCCCTTGGGCAAAAGTGATGACTTTTGTGGTCAGTGATGATGAGCAGGGACCTGAGGAAAGGTGAGCCCTTTCAGCTTCCTGCTGCTTCTGCCTGGCATTTGGTCCAAGTCTAGGTCTATGGAGGTTGAAAAAAATCATTCAGAGACAATGCCTTGTCAACTCCCAGTACTTTGACTGGATCCTACCAGACTGATTCATCACCAGCGTTTTCTCTTTTTCTACCTCATGAAAAAAAAAAATGAAGCCATGGTAGAGTTGGACACAAAGCTTATAAAGTGTTATACTGGAATTCCTCCAGTGTGGGTCTCCATGGTGCTTTGTAGGGCATGCTTTAGATGGATTTTCGCTTTGCATTCAGATTGATATTCACAATGTTCCAGTTGTTTTTAAAGTAGAAAAATAAGTATAGGGAGATGGAGAAATATGGGTGGCTTAAGTACTGATAAAATGAGGAGAGCTACCTTCCCCAAGCCTCCAAAGAATCTGAAAGATTTAGAGCAGTGCTTCTCAATCTTCCTAATGCTGAGACCCTTTAAGACACTTCCTCATGTTGTGGTGACCCCCAACCAGAAAATTATTTTTGCTGCTACTTCATAACTATAATTTTGCTACTGTTATGAATTGTAATATAAATATCTATGTTTTTCAATGGTCTTAGGCAACCCCTATAAAAGGGACATTTGATCCCCAAAGGCGTCAAGACCCACCAGTAGAGAACCACTGACTTAGAGGAAGGGGAAAGGTCCAGGTTCTGAAACTATAGGAAAATATAGTCATAAACTACATGTCTAGTACTGTGGAGTGGTGAGCTCTAAGCAAGACTTCTCTATCACATTGCATGCACAAGACCTGGGCAAGATCAAAACAGCCAAAATCCCAATGTGGATGTAGAAAGGTTCAAAAAGTCAAACCCTTTACCTACAGGATTCTAGAAATTGATGGCTGCTCCAAGAGAGTCATTTTTCTTCAGGAATGAAGCCACTGAGAACCTACCCATGCTCTAGTAGATGACCCTGTACTCCTTTGCATACAGACAGTACTAAGTGGACTCAATACTCTTAAGAAAGAGCATGAAAAGTTGGAAGAGAAAAGTAGTTGTAGGGGAAAAGGGAAGAATTTGAAGAGTGTAGGAATGGGGAATAGCTTTGACCAAAACACACCTTATACATGTATGAAGTTATTAAACCTACATATTATGAAAATAGTTACTTATCTCATGATAAACTTGCATACTTCACAAAGCAGTATTTCATGAACTGTCTGTAGTGGTGCCAACAACCAAAACCTTTTACTAATATGTCAGATACGATATACTATTTCAAGAACAAGAGAGAGTCCCTGCCATTGAGGTATTTATAGTCTAGTACGTCATACATACAATCTAATGGTTAAAAGAAATACTAAAATTAATAGCAGTAAGTGCCATGGCAAATAGGCTCAGACACTCTTGAATAACACTGAGAAACACCCAGGTTTGGAGAGGTCCTGGAAATCTCTGAGGAAGTAATGTTTATGTTAAGACATAAAAGATGAGTATGAACAAGGAGCTATGAGGAGAATCTAGGGAAATGGTAAAGAACAGCTTTGTGGACAAGGGTCTAGAGGCAAGAAACTGGCTTGCTCTCTTGTTTCATGAAAGCTTGGGCGTATAGCACTTGATGTTGGGGGAAGGTCGGTCTAAGGTTGGTGCTGTAGACACGGGCCGGATCATAAAATGCCTTGTAAAGCACTTTCAGCATTTGGAATTAGTCCTAATGGCACTAGGAAAGATGGAATGTGAGGAAAGCTGGCAAAGGAGCCTGCGCACAGAGAGAAACAACCGAAGACTAAGATATGCAAGATAGCAGCTTACATTAAACAACTCAGGAGAAAGCAGCCTAGCTGTGGAGGATATTTAAGGCTCCGCTTTTGTTTCAGTATGCCTGAGGTGTCTATCCCTTAAGATAATTCACAGCTCAGATCGTCCATCAGATAGAGCTGTGGAGCTTGTCAAAACCATACTCAACCATGTCTGCCGTGAATACCTCCTAAGATAAACCAACAGCATTTACGTGAGCTTTATACACACATTAAAAAACTGGATTGTACACACACACATCTGAGTTTAAGCTGCAGAAAGGGAAAGTAAAGGAGGGGAGTTAGCATGTCCCACTCAGTGCCTTCTTGTCCAATCCACACCCACTGGCACACCCCAAGACGGGTGAGCTGATTGCTTGCATGTGTAACTCAAACAAGGACTTTCAATGTAAGTACTTTCACGTGTTTCCCCTCTCCTTTTCCATGGGAATAGAGAGAAATAGATGAGACTCTACCTGACCGTTTCCTCTTCCATTCATAAGGCAAGACAGAAATGCAGCCCATGCCAGCACTATAGCCAATCTCAATGCCAGGAAAACCAAAAAGATACTGTGACGGACTCAAAGGCTTCAAAGTACAGAGTCCTGGCTGAAGAGGGCAGTGCCATGGTTCCTATTTAATCATATGAGTGAGCTTATTTTTTTCTGACTGATGCTTTGGAATGTCAACAGAAGCAACAAGCAGGAAATAGAATGGGCTCTTCTTGTTAATTTTTTTTTCTAAATTTTTTCAATTTTTTTAATGTGCATTGGTGTTTTGCCTGCACATATGTCTGTGTGAAGGTGTCAGATCCTGTGGTGTAACTCCTGTGGAACTGGAGTTACAGTTTGAGCTGCTGTGTGGGTGCTGGGAATTGAACCTGGGTCCTCTGGAAGAGCAGCCAGTGCTCTTAACTGCTGAGCCATCACTCTAGCCCTGTGCTTTTTCTTTACCCTATCTTTTAGGAAGCTGGAACAGACAAGAGTGTTTTCCCACTACCTGAACCACAAGATTTCTTTCTGGCCTCCCAAGTCAAGTTTGAAGACCTCATAAAAGATTTGAGAAAGCTGAAGCGACAGCTAGAAGGTAATGGGATAATTGCAAGGGTGACTTCTTAGAACCGTTTCTTTTGATGGCTGGCTCGTGGTTGGTATGGAGATCCCCCATGGGCTACTGCAGCCATCATGGGACATTCCTTCTCTGGGCAGTATTTGCAGGCAGTAAATCTGTGCATTCCTCTGATTTAGCTGGTGATCATTTGGCATTTCTGTGTCTCGCCATGTCATTGTCTACCCCCATATGCTCATCTGTTTGTGGTTGGAGGAGTTTGCATGCAGGTGTGTGTGGAGGCCAGGCACCTTGGGTGTCAGCTCTAGAGCATAGCTCATCTTGTTGGTCTAGTTTTTTGTTTTGTCTTTGAGACAGGATCTCTCTCTGACCTGAAAGTCACCAAGTAGACTAAGCTGGTTTGCCAAGGAGCCTCAGGGGCCTTCCTACCCTCCACCTCTCGTACTAAGATTATAAGTGTGTACCACCATACCTGCTTTTGAAAAACGGGTTCTGAGATTCAAACTTCAGTCCTCATATTTATAAGACAAGTTCTTTTCTACTGAGCTATCTCTCCTGCTCCATATCTGCCTTCTTCTGATATTTAATAGTTATACCTTTAATAATAATGGATGCTTATTGCAAGCATACCTTTTTTATATCATTCTTATAACAACTATGATAAGCAGAAACTATATTAGCATCATTTTAGAGATGAGAAAGTCAAGACTTAGGGAAATTGTCTTTGGTCATAGGCAGGTGTCCTCTGCTTTGATCAGGCCTAGCCAATTACATATCATATATTTCCTAAGCTTATTTTACTATACATATACATGTATATAGGTACATGTACACACATATGTATATATAAAGGTATATTCTTTTCACATATATGCACACATGCCATAACTCTATATCTGGTTTTGACACAACTCTATTGAGATAGATAAAACCCACAGTAAACGTTCTATTTCAGTTAAATTCACAGTTTTAATGACAAAATCCAAAAGCCTGAAAGCTATATTTTTGGCTTTTTAGAAGGTAAAAAAAGTACATGTCTCTTGGGCAGGAATTTTCCTTTGGCATCTCTCAAGTCCTGTGTTTTCACTGTGGAGACATCTCTTTGTCCAGGAATATAAATACTAGCTGTGGCACTTGTGTGACTCCAATGGAAGTGTTCTATGGAGAATTTAGAGAGTGTATTATTAATATGGAAATGGGGCCCCCGGGTACCAGAAGGAAGGCTTGAGGAAATGAAGAGTTTCAACCAGGAATATTTTTGCACTCAAACATAAAATAAACATTTTAAAAAGGTTTATTGTGAAAGAGTGCTCCAAAACCCCAGTCTTCAGTTTGAGACCGGCCTGGACATGGATGCAAAGTGGGAAAGATGTACTCACTGTGGCAGGGGGAGTCATTTATGTTTACCTTGGACATAAAACTTGTTCAAGTAAAAATAGTGGTTACAAGTTAATATTTTTAACGTTGTAAATCATTCTTAAAGGAGCATGCTGGTTCTATCCCACACCCACTCCCACTGTTGTTGATGTGGTTGGGAGAATGAATTCAACCAAATGGATCCTTTATACAGGAGTCTTCTATGTAAACTTGGATTATTTTTTTTTCTTTTAAGGAACTGACAGTTTTATCTTTATCTCTGATACCAGCTGCATTGGTACTGTAATAAAACAGAATAAGCCATCACATGGAATCTTCTTTAAACTTCTCCAGTGGTAGAGTTAGGAGGCAGGCAACTCTCAGGATGGCAGCAAAGTTCCATAGTGGGGAATGGAGATACAAGATGTAGACTGTCCCTTAGTGTCCATTCTTAGTCCTGTCTCTCTGACCCTTGTAAAGCCCTTGGCCTGACCCTTCATAGATGTTTGAGAAGAAACCTGATCTCTGTTTGATCTTGCCCTCTCCCGCCAGGGCCTACCTCCCCTGACATCCTCATGGCTGTCCTTATTCATATGAGCTTGATGATGAATAGCAAAGGGAGGGGAGGAGAGTGGAGGGGCAGCTTCCCCCAGGGCATCTCACTTTGGCTAGGGATGCTGCTGAGTGCCACTCTTGCCTCCCCATCTCCACTGACAGTTCCCTCAGTCACTCCAAGGATTCACAGGAGTTTCTGGAGCTGGTGAACCGGCTTTAGGAAGGAAGACTGAGCAGCACCTGAGTTGTGTCCCTTACGCTGGGCTTCTCCCAGAGACATGAAGTCAAAAGGAGAGAGCACCCCCCACCCCACCCCACCCACTTTGAATATTTAAACAAAAATGTCCTGCTAATCCTTAGAGATGCCAGTGTTTTTAACACATGAAAGGTACCCAGTAAATATTTAAAGAAAATGCAGAGCCTGGATTCTCTAATGAATTTCTTTTTCTTCTGAATACCATCTGGTGAGATGGCCGGAATCACAGCGGTCCGTTTCATCTCCAGTTCCCATTCAGGTTCACCTCCCTTTCCATAAGGCCTTGGTGTGAACCCAGATTGAATGTTTAATTGAGGAGGACATAATTTTCACACATACAGCAAAGATTTGATGAGGCTTTGAGGTTTATTGTAGCCATTAAAATGTCGTAGCTGCTGGCAAAATCCCAGAAAATGTCTAAAGCTGAACCAGATGTGATTAGCAAGTTTCAAGTGGTGTCAGGCCCCAGGTTTCTGGACAAGCACGACATCACCCTATTGAAAGAAATATTTTAGAATAGCATTAACCACGCCTTGCCAGAAAAGATGTGAATTTAACCTATGGCTGCTGGGCACACCAATATCATTGATGTGAGTCTCCAAAGTAGTACATAAAAATCTTCCTGAAAGACAAGACTCGATTTTGTGCAGGTGAACATAGAGGGATTGAGAATAGCCTCAACTGGAATTTTTTGTGATTATTATTCTTAGATTCTTTACAGGTAGCACATCTTTTGCCTCTCACAATGATCCTGTGGAATTAGTATTACTTTTGAATTCTCACAAGATGAGAAAAACCCAAGTTCTTGGTGCTAATGTAGCTGGCTACTGGCTCGAGGGTGATGATCCAGCTATGAAACTGGGCGTGATGCTAGGACATGGCTTCAGTTCCATGACCCATCCTGCCTGTGGCTTAGAAGGCGTGCGTTATACCTTAGAAGGCATGTGTTATACCTTAGAAAGCGTGTGATATACCTTAGAAGGCGTGTGATATACCTTAGAAGGTGTGTGATATACCTTAGAAAGCGTGTGATATACCTTAGAAGGTGTGTGATATACCTTAGAAGGTGTGTGATATACCTTGGAAGGCGTGTGATATACCTTAGAAGGCACGTGTCCCAATGCTACATTTACTGGCTGATGAGCCCTAGTTCCTTCTGGTGAGGGACAGCCCAGGAGCTCTGTTTGAGACACACTCATTGCCTCCCCCAGAGCATGCTTCCTTGACTTCCCCCTGTCTTTTTCATTCACAGTGACCTTCTTGGCTTCCACCCAATACCTTTACTCATTTCTTTCATGCTGTGATGTATCTAAGAGTTTCGGAATTATTTTCTTTATGATGTGCATTTTCCTTCCCTGGACTCCCATTTGGAGGGAGAAACTGTATTCAAAACTCCATCCTCCACTGCCATAGTAGCTGACTGTTTCTCTTATTTGTTTAGGTTTTACTCATGTAAGATGGCAAAGACTTTTCCTTATATATGTATTGTAGATACCCAAAATGGGTGGTATAGATTACTGTTAATGAGAATGTTTTGCTCTCAATTTGGTGTTGTTCACTACAAATGCTGTGTGAAGCTTAAAAAGAAAAGAACTCAGACTAAGGGGTTAGATGTGTACAGTAAAATCTTATTAAGTAGTGTAACTATAAAAAGTTATTTGGGGAGAAGGTGGATAGTTCAATGGTTGTGTATATGCTTAGCATCCAGCGGCCCTGGACTGAATCTTCAAAACACACACACACACACACACACACACACACACACACACA